GCTTTCTCTACCAGCACAGGAAACTGTGCTGTGAAGCAGGTTCTTGAAGCTGAGTCGTACATTTAAAAGCCTTCCAAGAAACTTTGCTTTCCCAGGATAACGTACTTCCTGCTGCTTACAGAAATTATGTGATGGTTGTAGACATGCCTCTGAGCCTGTTCCTTGAGCAGTGCGCATTTTTCTTGTAATGCTAGTCTGCTGCTTTGCCTGGAGAAGTAAATATATTAAAACCTTAGCTTATTGGTGTTAGCTGCACTGATACAAAGCCATTTAACTAACTTGTTAATTCCCCTTCCACACAGCAAGCTGATACTCTGATTTGGTACAGAAAAATGCTTCTTAGGCTGACTAGGGAGAGCAAACCACGTGTTAGTCCTTTATCTCTCTCGCAGTCTCTAGGCCCTTGTTCTCCCTATGGGGAAGATGGTGCCCCTTTAGGGAGGGCCGAGCCTCGCTGCAGCATGGTGTGATGAATGGCACGTAGAGAATGGGACTGCAATACCTAGTCACTGCCACTACCAGGTTGAGTGCGCAGCAAATCTTCATCCTGGAGCTGGTGATGCAGTGGAGCAGCATGTAGGTGAAGGATCTCTGTTTCCATCTACAGTTATGTTTAAATTTTAAGATGCTTTACTTTGTGTGAAAAAGACTTTTGCCATCTTCTTGAAAGCAGTAGCTAGCCTCGATTTCTGCTGGTAAGGGAGTAGGCTTTCAGGTTCTCTGAAAGACTCCTTAACCTTGCAGTATATTCCCTTGACACAGGATAAGCTGGTAGGTGTGCCTGCTGTATTAAGTCTGTGCTGGGAATACATCGCTCTACATATGTTCTTCAGCAAACATCTGATGCTAGTCACCTGCACTTGGTTGATGTATTATTAATACATTTTTAAGCCTACTTTGCCCTCTTGAGAGGGGCAGGCTGAGCTAAATCATACGTTGATGTAACCGTTAATCCGTTTGCGTGCAGGGAAAGTGCTGATGTCGCGCAGCACCGTGTGGACTAGCATGACCTTTCAGATCCAGATAACTTGTATTCTGAAAGCCAGAGAAACATCAGCATCACAAAGCTGCAGGCTGTGGATGTCTCTTCCTGTGTAGCTGGAAGTACAGAAAAGGAGTCTGCGGCTTGCTGTTGGAAGATCTTATATCCACAGGAGCAGGTGGTGGGTGCTGGGTCCTCTCCAGTGTTGCAGATAAGAGATGGTATTTTTGGTGGCCATCTTGTAGTTATGCAACAGTGCAAAGCCGCCTCCTGCAACAGCTACCCAAAAGAAGAACATGTTCTTTCCTTTCTGGACGAGGAGTTGACAGACCTTATTAAAAGCCTGATTCACCACAGAACTAGATTTTTTTTTTGCTGTTGCTGTTTTTGAGTCACTTTAGCTTCTGGAATGAATAAAGCTGACATCTCTCCTAGATCTTAGGATGTTTTTGGAAATCTGGAAGTTGGCTGAAAGCTTGCCTATTTTCATAACCCTGGCTGCCTCAAATGTAATGTGAACTCATATCGCTTCTGCCTCTCTTTGACTTCTCTGGCACTTCTGTGTAGGCTGCCCAGGAACACCCGGACTTGAACAGCCTTGTTTTTCGGAAGGAGTAAGGTTGTGTAAGTGTAGCTGACCCATGCCACTCACTCCCACATAGGAGAGGAAATAAAACTAAGAATGTTCATCCACCGTACAGCTGTGCTGATGCCGGATGTAACTTTGAGGCTCTCACAGGCCGATAAAGGACAGTAAAATGTCTTTGTCTTGTGTGGCAGTAGTTAACACCAAGCCAGTCTAGCAGTACTTACACATAGCGACTGCCCCAGGGCATTCATTCTGCCTGCAGCCTGAGCGCTGCAATTGCCACTTCCCCTTTTTGCCGGCTGGGGTAGCAGCTTCATGCAAAGAGTGAGAACTAACTGCTCAGCCTGGGCTGGGGATTGCTGCTTAACTTTGCACTGCCTGCTTCTCCTCCCTGGAGGGGAGAGCTGGAGATGCCCTAGTCTCAACTGTTTGCTGCAGCAGAACCGGATGAGCAGGCTGCGGTTAGTCACCTTGCTACTGAAACTGGTCCTCACTGACCTCAAACGGTTCTGACTTTCTAGAATGTTCATGAGCCCTAAGATACCGAGGAGGTACCAGACATGCTCAGTATACTCTGCCTGAAGCATGGGCAGTTCTAATATTGAACCCTGGGATTTGCTAGTCGTGCCCTGAGGAAGGACGTTGCATTTATTCAGTGTTTAAAACATCCAAAGAACTAGGCTTTCCCCCTTTACTTGATCAGGCCAAGCAGACTGAGAGTCCACAGTGTCTTCAGGTGGTCTTGAAATCCTTGCCCCTCTGGTTTAAAAACCAACCAACCACATTAAAAAAAAAAAAAAAACCTGAAGTATTGGGAAATGCCAGACATTCCTTCTGTATTTTAAAGTTGGTCCTTGTGGTGGAATTCAGTAGATGCTTTGTAAATATATGGTAATGAAAGGCAAGAGGAAGCATAAAAATGTGTAGCTGGACATGTGCAGGCAAAAGGGTCTTTGGAATTTTTTGCTGCTGTGCTGCTTTTCCTCTGCTGTAGACAAGGTCACAGTGTCTGTGATGAATTTGTCTGATCTCACTGAGTTGCTGGAAGGTCTTTCGTAAAAGGGATTCTGACTTGAAATGAAGTTGCTTTTTTACCTCCCTTTTTGTGTATTCTGGAAGACTTTGAGGGGGTAAAAAAATAATATATGTAAGTGACTACTTGTGGGTGGAGCATTTCCATGAGATAGAAGCTGCCTCTGAAGATCAAAGGGGGGAAAACTCATCTGTGTATTTAAAAAAAAAAAAAGCAGCTTGCAAATAACAGTCTGGATGCAATACTATTGCTCCATATTCTTCTACCTCTTATTTTCAGAAGTGGCACCAACGTGATCATGGTATTTGTATGTAGACAGTTTCCCAGCAAGTGCTTTTTATGCGCATCTAGAGAACGCGACACTGTTATTCTGGTGTTCAAGGATGAAGCAGCAAATGTTAGAGGGCTAAAACATAATGTTCAGGTCTGACCAGCTGGCATTCCTATAATAATGTAACTTTGTCAGGCTTTTTATGTGGGTTGACTTTCTTGTACTAACTGCAGTGAATCAGCAGCTTCTGGCAGGGCTGAGGTAAAGGACACTTGCCAGGACAAATTATGGTTTTCAGTGGCCTGTCTCCTCGCTCTTTTCTGCACCGTAATGAGGATATGGTGAGTCAGGGCTGCCTGCGAGACAATCCGCACGTACGTGCAGGTTTGCCTAGCAGAAGTGGCGGAGGGGAGGAGCAACGGTCTGAATGGAGCCTCTGTCGCATCTGTGCAAGGCACATGGTAGAGTCACAGGGGATCTCCCCTCTCATGTGTTAGAGGCATGGTGTTTAATTCTGGTCATCCATGCTAGCTTTGACAAAGCTATCAGTTTATTAGTGCCTCTGTTTCAAAGCTGAATATATTGAGCTAGCTAGTGTGTACAGCTAGTGCCGTTTTTCTGCTTCTGGACAGAAAGAACTGGATGCAAAAACTCTACCGTATCCCTGCCATCTGTTGAGGAGCAATCTCTTTCTCTCTAATTGTCGTGCTAAAGAAATATCTGAAATCATCTCTCATAGGTTGTGGTAGATTCGGCTGAAATAGTCACCAACTCTGAATCTCTCCTGTCTATGTGCAGGTGACCAGTGTTTGAAGTCAAAATTAATGATCTGCCTGTGTTGCTACCCACCTTAAATCACTCGTTTACTGAAGGCTTTTTGAATGCAGACACTCCAGACCTCTGACTGAGAGCAGAGGCAGTACTCTACGGATTATGTAACGAGAATGTGAAGTAGCTAAGTCTTGCCTTACCAGAAAGTACGAGCACAACAAAGTATTCTTTGGCAGAGTAAAACAATGCAGAAGGGAGATGGGCAGGTGGAAGAGGACAGACAGCTTTCAGCTGCCATTGCTACTTCAGAACAAAATTGCAATGTGACCTGAGGTAGGCAATTGGAAATGCCCTGGAGCATCAGTGCTGCTGGGAAATGAGTATCCTCCCATCAGAGCAGACAGTGAAGCTTTAATTCAACTCCCTTCTGGGAATGGGGACCTTTCCTGCTTTCTGGGGGATGCTCAGGTCCTGCAAGGGCAAGCAGCTTGAGTTTGTAGGGTTTTTATCTTACTGAACGGACTCCAAAAAGCATGCTGAAATTTCTCAGGCGCTCTGTAGTTAAAACTCAGAGAGGAGAGTCTCCTATTCTGGCCTTGCAAATGTTACTGGGACTGTGTGATACCAGAAGCTGGGGGGGGCGGGGAAGGGGTGGTGGAGAGGGCGTGCAGTTTCCTGTTGGATCTGAACAACAAAATGCTGAATAACCAGTCTTAAACTTTATGGTGGCTTTCTGCTGCTCTAGGTTAGGGGTCTCTTCCCATCTCTGCGTTCCCCACAATGTCTTTGGTTTGAAGAGGGACCTTGAGCATATTAAGGAAATCTTCAGTCTCGTATGTGTTCTCTGCCAAGGTGCTGCATTTAATAACTCAAGTCTACTTATCTGTACAGGCTTAAAGGGTGGGTTTTAAGCTTAGGTAGACTTCATTTTGATTAGATGCTTCTCTCTAGAAGCCTGTAAAGCACATCTGCAGTCATGTTAGCAGCAAGCTACCAAGGTCCCCAGTTGTGAGGGGGAAATCCAGTCAAGGCTTGTAGGAGAGGTGATTTGCAGGCTAGGAGAGAAGAGGCAGAATCTCTGCTTGTGCACTGAAGTGCTTGAATTTTGTTGTCCTGTAATTCTAAGGGAAGACTGGCTATGAAGAGAACCTATGAAGGGAACATCTCCATGGAAAGCAGGTAAGCTTTGGATGGCCTTTATGGGGGATAACTTTAAAACAGGAGCGAGTCTGCCTGTATCTCGGAGATTGAAGTAAGCACATAAAGATAGTTTAACCAGTGGCAGGCTTCTTGTTACCTCCAGATTCATCACGTGGGTATGTTGATATCTCTGCTTGATGAGCAAGTATTTATGATTTTTAGACCTGGCAACGCTTTCTTCTCTTTTAGATACAGGATTCCAGCAACGATGTCTAAGCACCACGATGCAGGGACTGCTTTCATCCAGACCCAGCAGCTGCATGCTGCCATGGCAGACACTTTCCTGGAGCACATGTGTCGCTTGGACATTGACTCTGAGCCAACCATTGCAAGAAACACTGGCATCATCTGCACCATTGGTAGGTGATTCCTAGATAAGAGCGAATTGCAGCTCTTTGTAACAGTTAAGCTGTGAAGCCCTGTACTGGTGAAACTTCTTAGGGAAATTGTCAGAAGGCTTCAGCTTTTATCTCTTGCCAAGGCTTAATTTATGTTGAAACAACGTGACTTTCCCATGTTTGCCTGACCTGTGCTATTGCTAGGAGTGAATCCAGTAGCTGGGGAGTCTCAAACTGGATAGATTCTAATGGCCCTCCTGAAGGCAAGTTAAAACAGCCTTTGCTGCTGCAGAGATGAGCTGCTTCAGCACTGAGCAAGCCTGTATCCGTTACACCTTACTCATCCATGTGAAATACTCCATGCTTGTGGTTATCTCATTATTTTCACAAAGTTAATATTCAAACTGTTTCTGCCTTCTAGGCCCAGCCTCCCGCTCAGTGGAAAAGCTGAAGGAAATGATTAAATCTGGAATGAATGTTGCCCGCCTCAACTTCTCTCATGGCACCCATGAGGTAAGGGTGGGGCCTGAGCTGATGCTGCCCTGACCAGGCCCTGTGCCTGACTGATGTCCTGTGTTCTCATGAGAGAAGACAGTAAGTGAAATCTTACTTTCTCAGGACAGCCTTGAAGTGGAAAGGCAGTACTTAGCTCTGCTTTGGTGGTGGTGGGGGGGAACACACAAGTTGTAAACATTGAGCCTGAGTGACTGTTGGTAACACTTAAGTATGCTTTCTAAGCCACTGTGAAAGTGGTTCAAGTCGGTTCCTCATACCTACGCTTGCATGCCCTTCTCTGTATCCACCTCTAGCTGGGAGCCAGGTAACTGATATTTTACACTTGTGTTCTAGCTATTTGCCATAAATTCCCTCAGTTCTTCCTTGCCTTCACATCCTACAGTTGGCTATAAAAGTTGGCTACAGTTGGCTACTTTGCAGAAGTATCAGAACTGTCAGTAGTAGTTCTTGCCTGTTTTACTGTTGAGGGTTTTGGAAACGAACTGATGAGTCAATAGCCTTGTTTCAAAAGAAAGCCATTAGGAATTTTAAATAATTTAACTCCCAGCTTTGCTTGGCTAGCTGGCTGCCCACGCTATTTCTGGCTGTCCTGAGGATAGCACCATGATACCTGGGAGTTGGTGCAAAAAGCTTATGAGAATAAGGTCAAAAGCAATCAGCACTGTTTGTGGTGGACAAGCCTGTGTTGATAAAAATAGATGAGATCCTCACTGATACTGGAGAAGCCAAGGATCCCATTCCACGTTGCCTAGAATGCCACCCTGAGTTTTCATTGCTGGCTGTCCTCCAGCTTTCAAAATGTCAGGCTGTAGCCTAGTAACAGCTGTAGGTGGCTTTACTTATTAAGCAGCAAGAGCCTTGACGTGTGTAACAGCTTGGCCTCTCACCCTCATGCTCTTTAAAGGGCACAGGGCACTGAAGAAATCAAAAGGTCTGATGCTTAACTGTGGACAAACAGCAGACCTTGATTATATTGATATTAACCTCTGAGATAGTATCAGTACATAGGCTGCCGTTCATTTAAAAAAAAAAACAAAAAAACACCGCTATGTGGAAATATCAGCATGAGGTAACTTTACCTCTGAGGAAGAGTAGCCAAATGCCATATCCTGGCTCAGCTGTTGGACTGGGTGGCCAGGTTGAAGTTGGGAGTTCGCAGAGTATTGCCCAGCTGAGTTGCTGTTGTGGTTTGCATACTGGTTAGCTGGGAACAAGGGACAGGGAATGTGGCTTTTTGCTTTGGGTGAAGTGAAATTTAATAGCATATTTCATACAGATGAGGTTAGGTTACAACAGAGTCCAGTCTTGCTGTAATTGCCCATTTAGTTTGACTGTCACTGTAGCCAGTGTCAGTCCCCTTCTGGTTCTTCTGAAACACTCTGCTTGCTAGTGAAGTCTCAAGAGGTGCTTATCTGTCTGGTGCACTTTGGTTCTGGTGTCCAGCCTAACATCTTCAATAGGGCTTGAGTTAACAACTTAAATCAAGGTATTCAAAGATCTGGCCGTATGCTTTCTCTTGTAAAAAGAGTTCCTTTTGCATCTAGCTGTGCCTGCGTTCCAATTCTGCATACCTACCTTTACAGGAAGTCAAACTCCTTAGGAGCCAGTCATTCATCTGTATCAAACTAAAACAAATCCCAGGTAACTGGAACCAGATAAGCTTAATGGTGCTGTTCAGGCTCGCTTCCTGTACTATGTCTGTTTAGGCTGTGGTCTGTGGAAGGGTTGGGACCTTGTCAATCCCAGCCTGTGTACTTGATCAGAAAATTAAATGAGTTCTGCTCTAAAACGTTAGTTGTGCTGGTGTATCTCTGGCCTGCAGCGTTCACACGCGCTTAGGTACAACTTATTCTGGCTGCTCCTTCCTGATGTTGATTGTTGTCCCAGAGATACAGAAGTTGGTGTGTGAGGCTAACTGGGGGAGTGGTGGGGGAAGGGGGTGGGCAGGAGGAAGATGAGTTTTCCAGATGAGACTGCTCAAGCGTTGTCAGTCTGTTACAGTGAGAGGAAAGGGTGTTTTTTTTTTTTATCTTCAGCTATCTGTAGGGGATTACATAACTTTTAGTTAAGGTTATCTCTAATGTTGTTTAAACAAATAAGGTAAATGGATCTGTTGATCATTTGAAGCTCATTTGAGGTAGTTGAGATAGGAGTTTCCCACAGAACTGTCTGTCCTGGAACTGGCAGTACTAGCAAAACGTTCTTGCTCACTGAAAGGATTTTGAAGCCTTGTGCATGATGCTGAAGTCTTGAACTTCCTGCTGCAGTTGGTTTAGCTCTAGAAATAAAATGTGAATACTTAAGGGATTTACTAAGACGTTATCCCTTTATCTCTGGGGGAGATTTAAACCAAAGAGTTGTTTTTAAAAAAACAAAAACAAAAAAAAAACCCAAAAAGCTTGTCAATCTGGTTGCTAGTGGAGTTCAGGGACTAATCATGCCCACCTTTGGGACTGATGGGAGATGCCAGGCTGGAAGTCTGTGGGGAAGTCGGCAGTATAGAGAATGGTATCCTCCCTTCTGTGCTCTGAAAGGAGGAAAAGAATGACTGTGTGTGGTAACAGCTTAGCTTTGAAATCTTCCTGGCGTTTGAAACTCTTCCCTTGTGCGCAATCTTTCAGCTGCTAGCGCTTCTGATGTTCTGCCATGTGGAATAGGTAGTTATTAAGAAGGTTTAGCAGAGCTGTTGACTTTTTAGTTAGGAGGGCAGCCTTTCTAAAGGCTTGTTGGTTTCCCTCTGATCTTCAGAGGCGAAGTGTACATCCTGACGGAAAATCACTTCAGCTGAACATGTAGGCAGTTTGCTTCAGTTGTCCTTGTGGGCTTAGAACTGAGGGCCTAAAATGCACTGAAGGTGTAGCCAGGTGACTCGGACTCTGCTTTCACATAGGAAAGGCCCTTGTAAGTCCACACTCAGCCTCTTTCGAAGCTCGGTCTGAGTTAAATTCTGGAATTGGGGCTGGAATTGAGTGGAATCCAAGAGCAGAGCTGTGAGCTTGGTTGGTGTTTAGGGTGCCTAGCAGTCTTTTCTCCACATGGTGGAGGAGAAATGGGAAGAAAGTTTCCATATCTTGTTTTTCTTGTCAGTATCATGAGGGCACAATCAAGAACGTGCGAGAAGCTACAGAGAGCTTTGCCTCTGACCCGATCACCTACAGACCTGTGGCTATTGCATTGGATACAAAGGGACCTGAAATCCGAACTGGACTCATCAAGGGAGTAAGTTGCTGCTTTTTTCTTCCTTTTCAGTAAGTCAGTCTAGGTATTATACTTATGCCTGTGGCCTGTTTACCAAACAAGAAGTATCTTCAGGGAACTAGATAACTGTGTGCGATGTCTGGTGTCTATACCATGAATTAGGAGTAACTGTTGCAGTGAATGTGTGTGTACTGGTCTCACTGGAACGTGTGTTTTGACATGCAGAGTGGCACAGCAGAAGTGGAGCTCAAGAGAGGTGCAGCTCTCAAAGTGACCCTGGATGATGCCTTCATGGAGAAGTGTGATGAGAACGTGCTGTGGCTGGACTACAAGAATCTCATCAAAGTTGTGGATGTTGGCAGCAAAATCTACGTGGATGATGGTCTGATTTCCTTGCTGGTTAAGGAGAAAGGTGTGTAGCAACCACGGGGTTCTAGCAGTACCTGTTTGTGCTTTCCTTCGAGCAATCACGTATGTGTTTTTTAAGCTCACAGTCCTGTATTCCGGAAAGGTGTAGCATGCTTCTAGGCTTAATGCCGCAGTGAGATTTCCACTTCAAATGCAGTGAAACTCCTACTTCAATTGTAGGATGTTTCCTGTAACTGACTTTGGCTGGATTTCACTAGATTACCATCTAGAATCCCTCTTGAAGGTGACTTTGTGGTAGGAGTATACCTGTGCTCGTGACCTAAGCCTGTTCAGCCACTTATACCTTTCATGCAGGATGTAACTAGTTAAACGTGGAGTCTTGTGGTTAGACACGGAACTAGTTTTAACTGCTAACGTAGGGGCAAGATTAGTTCCACAACGTCCCTTCGAGTGGTGCATAAACTGCTCTAGTCTTAAATTGTCACCTCTAATTGCAGAGTGTGCAGTGTAGGGAGGTGGAGAAAAGGCTTTCAGGTACTCAGTTTGGTATTGCAGTGGTCCTGTGTGCAGAAATGCAACCTGGTAGCTTTTTCAGGCAGGTAGTTCCAGCCTCCTGCTTGGAACAAATGGGTGTCTCTCTTCAAGAATAGCACAGAAATGGAGTTAGGATGATCGCTTGGGCTCCCCGGAGTAAGTTGCAAGCTCATGCATTACGTAAGTCTCCCGCAGAGCGCAGTAACGTGCTTCTTATCACACACCATGACTGTTAGCACTGGCTGTTCTCAGGCAGCTCTGGTAAGAAGGTGGTAGAGGAGTGGGGAGGTAGTGTGGGAGCTGGCAGTGGGGAGCCTGCTGGTAAACACTGACCGTGGGAACACATCTGTTTCAGGCAAGGACTATGTCATGACGGAGATTGAGAACGGCGGCATGCTTGGCAGCAAGAAGGGAGTGAACCTGCCTGGTGCTGCGGTGGACCTGCCTGCGGTCTCCGAAAAGGACATTCAGGACCTAAAGTTTGGTGTGGAGCAGAACGTAGATATGGTGTTTGCTTCCTTCATCCGCAAGGCTGCTGATGTCCATGCTGTCAGAAAGGTGCTAGGGGAAAAGGGAAAGAACATCAAGATTATCAGCAAGATTGAGAACCACGAGGGTGTGCGCAGGTGAGCTTTGCACAGGTGGTATTGCAGGTCAGTCCCTCGGTATCCACAAAAGAAACTGTGGAGCACAGCCCTCTGCGCTGTTGTGCAGATTTCTCCAGTCTCTGATTTTTATCAGCAGCGGCACACTCGCAGCCGGTCAGTGTAACATGGTGGCAGTGCAGGCCACCAGTTAATTTCATGTTTATGATGCAGCTCCATCAAGTACCATGCACAGCAGTTTGTGTAAGCATCACAACCAGGGTGTGTGGGGTCAGTGTTGCAGCCTCCCCGAGTCCCTGAAAAGTCTGCTGTGGTCTCTGTGGTGAGTGAGAGTTCAGGCTTCAGCAAACTTGCATACACTTGATGGAGTCAAAGTAGCGAGTTAATGCATGGAAATCACCAAGTCTCTGACAAACTGTCAGACTAAGCTGTCTCAGATCAGCTTGTGCTCTTGTTATGTTCTTTGCAGAGTTTTGGAAACTCTGTGCTATGACTTGGTCTTGTTTTTCCTCCTTCTGTGGTGTTACAGGAAGCCTGCTGCATGATACCGTAATGGCACATGGGAAGGCAGTATGCTGATAGCGTAACTGCATATAGCACTCAAGAGCAGTGAATCTTTTTGGAAGGGGGGGGCACGGAATAGATGATCTGGCCTTAGAGAGTTTCCCTGCAGAACAAAAGGAATAACAAGCCTTTTCTCTTGCTGTCAGGTTTGATGAGATCATGGAGGCCAGTGATGGCATTATGGTGGCTCGTGGTGACCTGGGAATTGAGATCCCTGCTGAAAAAGTCTTCCTTGCCCAGAAGATGATGATTGGGCGCTGCAACAGGGCTGGCAAACCCATCATTTGTGCCACTCAGGTATGGAAATGAAGTGCAGGTGTACAAGGGTCAGAACACGTTTATGGGGCCCAGCAGTACGTGAACGTCAGTATCTTGTCACTGCATGCTGCAGAGAGGCTGACTGGGGAAGGTCCTTGATGACTTTCAGTCGAGTGAGATAGACCAAGAGCAAAGACACCTTTTTAGTAGCTGGATAGCTTGTCTTGAGACACTTCAGCTCCAAAGACATTTATTCAAGGGGTCTTCCCCGAGTAGGTCACAGGACCTCTTGTATGGTTGCTGAAAGCTTAATCCCTTGATCTCATGCATAGTGAGCCTTTTGGCTGGCTAAAACTTTGAGGAAAATCGAATGTGCTTTATGTATGCATTTGATAATACATCTGTGCCTAATACAGAAAACTTGCTCAGAGTTGCTGCCTCAAGTCTCGTACGAGATGCCACTCGTACTGTTGCATCAGAAGGCAGTGAGTGAAAACTCAACCTCCTTATCTTTCTGGGAGGTGCCAAATGAGGGAGGGGGAGTTGAGATTCCTCAGCTTCACTCGTTCCGGTAGGGATCTTGTATAGACAGTCTTCAGACCCTGGGACGACCGACTTCGTGGCTGTGCTCCCTCTGCGTGCTAGCTGTGGAAAAGTGTGCTTCCAACAGGATAATGAAGACTAGCTCTAGACAGTCATCAGTTGAGGTTCTGGGTTTACAGTAGCACCTGCTCCGTCTTCCTGAGACTGTTTGCATTGCTAGTGAAATAGTAGGCATGGCAAACTGAGGGGAGTGATGTTTGCCCAGCAAAGAGCTGCAGTAAGGGGTACAGTCAGGCATCTTAGGAAGGGGTGAGAGCTGGCCAGGCTGTGGTGGGTGGCAATTTGCAGTAGTCGATCAGGTGGCTGGTTGGTAGCGTTAAACCATCTCCTGGGGAAAGGGTAGGAAGAGCTAACCTCCGAAAAGCTATGCTGGTCTCTGCTTTCTTCAGTGGCCTGTGCTCTGCTTGCTTTATTAGCTGTATACTGAGTTTGTTAGTATCTGTATACTGAGTGAAGGACTGGAAAACATGCTTTGGATGAGAGTGACTTAGGCTGGTACTGACCTTGCTGTTAACTGTTTTTGAGATACAAAAATACTGTATGCCAGAGATCAATTGGGAACATGTGTCTGGGTTTGAGCAGTAGCAGGATTTCCATAGAAGAAATCTATTGTAATACTTTAAAGAACTCCAAGTTCCTTGAGTCAAGCCCCATGCTGAAAAACGAACCTGGAAAGTCAGAATAAAGAATCTGTGGTGCTGTGCAGTTTGGACTTCTCTGGAAAGGGAATAATTGTTGAATGGGTGGAAAATGGAGCGGGTTGCTTTCCTTGTTTGTAGATGCTTTAATTCCAAACTGATTAGGGACCAGCGCTCTTCTATTCTGAACCACAGAGACCTTCTCTCCCGGAGGAGAGGAAGTGATAAGCCGAGTGCTATCTTCTGCCGTATGTATAAAGTGTGTTGAAGTGCACTAGTGCAGCAGCGGCTGGTTCCTTCGGTGGTGGTTTGATTTCTTTGGACTTGTCCTTTCCCAGATGCTGGAAAGCATGATCAAGAAACCTCGCCCAACTCGTGCTGAGGGCAGCGATGTTGCTAATGCTGTCCTGGATGGAGCAGACTGCATCATGCTCTCTGGAGAGACTGCCAAGGGAGACTACCCACTCGAGGCTGTGCGCATGCAGCATGCTGTGAGTAACACCTGTGCTCTGGGGGGGGGAACATTACACCACAGGTAGTAATGGCAGTATTTCATTTCCCAGCATCTTCCATCTGAGCAGGCACCTGAAGATCCAAATGTGTCTGGTCCTAGGTGGCAGCACCCAGCAGTCTGTAATAGCAACGCTTTTGTCCGTGCTCCCGACGTGGGCTTTCCTTTACCTAGCGTGGTCATGAGGGCCTGAAACCTCAATTTGTGGTTAAATTGCAGAGCTGAGAACTGCTTTGCAGTGCTGGGAGATCTAAAACTTCAGATTTCTTGTACTCTGACTTTTTTTTTTGTTAAATGCCAGGATGAAGCTTTCTTGCTGTTACCTTGGTATGAGTTTCTTCAAATGTGCTATTCATATTTGGCTTCTTCAGTGTCTTAAACTTCTCCAAGGTCAAGGAACTGCTTGAGCAGTTGACCTTGGAGAAGTTTAAGCAGTTTACCTCTAGATAATGGAACATATCAGCTGACTCCTCTGTATGGGGGCAGGGGGGAGGTTTGCAGGTGTGATGTACAGCACTGTTATATTCAACACCTAGTGCACTTGGTGATGGGGATGCTGTCGCAGGACTACTGACAGCACCTTGTTCTTACGTGTCTAAACTGCCAGAAACCTCTGCTCTGCTTCGAATTCACCCAGCTCATGTTTCAGTTATAAAAAGCCTGATGCCAAGTATCTAGAAGTACTGGTTCTCCCTAGTTATCGCTACTGTGAATCACAGCAGTGATAACTCGCTAGTTTCATCTGCTGTTCAGGTTATATAGATGAATAAAGTTAGTGTCTGTGTGTTTGCAGTGCATTACGTGAATATCTTCCTTTTACCTTTATCTGGTCAATACGTAATGGTGCTTTTTGCACATGGGAAACAGAAGATAGGACTTTGGGTAGTGACTGGGCATGAAATGCTGTTTTGCAGGCTGAATACTAACTGTACCTAAAAGGTTCTTCCCTACTGTTTTACCTAAATCATGAGGGCTGACTTTCTACCAATATTTGGAGACTTGCTACAGCAAACCTTACACCTGGGTTTTAATTCTGGCATTAATGCTTAGACTCAGGCAAGTTGTACTTTATTGGAGAGGATCCCTGAACTTCTGAGAATACTTGTGTTCTATATAGATGAGTGTTTTGATGCTAAATCAGCAGGCAAATGCAAGAGAAGCCTTCCGTTTGAGCTGAGGAAAGTGCTGGTTCCTGTCTTTATGAAGTACAGGGCACTTCCCGTAGTCTGCTCGCGTGACAGGCAGACATTCAGCACTGCAAAGATGAATCCCTGCAAAAACACCCCCTCAAGAGCAGATTTCTCCTGGGGTTCCTCACCGAGGTTACAACTTGCTGTGCAGCAGTGGTTATCCCTATTTGTAGACTGAGCTCAGTGTCCGTTGCACATGCTTCCCTCTTCCTGCAGCCCTGGGAATAAAGGTGTGTTCTTGCTTTCTTCTTTCACCCTGGACAAATGCTTAGGGTTTTTTACCCTCTGTGCAGAGGAGCAAATACAGATTTGTTTTGTACTTTTGTGTAACTTGGTACAGGCAGCAGGAGGGGAACTCTTGCAGCAGGAGGGGAACTCTTACAGCAGAACGAGCACGTCCCCCTAAACTCGACTCTTAATCTTTCATGTGAGCTAATTCACTTGATGTCAGTCGAGATGAGCCCTGCTAAATTAGTGCCCTGGATAATTACCTGCTGAAAATCTGAAATGTGGCTGGAGCAGATGGCCATCGGGGACTAAAGTGTGATGTGGACTGTATTCCCATCCCTGCAATAGCAAATGAATATTTCGGTCTGAATATTTCGGACCGAATATTTCTGCTGAAGGGAGAGCACCTTACCTCTAGTAAAGAACAGCTGCTGGATGCATTCTCTGGTCTGAAGCTGGTATCGGTGCAGGCTTATGTATTTATTTATCCAGTCCTGCTACGGGAGTACTCAGTAAACTTTCTGCATAGTCTGATGCAAAGAGCAATTCCGGGCAGCGGTACTGAGAACAATTGGAGTCTGGGCTATCCAGTGCCATTGCACATCTGTCTAAATGACTTAACCTCTCCATCCCCTGAGGTGCCCTGGCCTGTCTCAGCAGCTTTGCTGGGACACTGCAATGGTTTCACTTAGCAGTCACTTTCCGTATAGCTGATAGAAATGAGCTTCGCATTCAGTGACTGGCATCTGTGTAACGAAAGTGACATGTCCCTAATGAGTTTGGTAGCAAGCTTCTAAATACTGGGCAGGCTACCTCCTGCTTGTGGGAGTGATTTCCTTCAAATTCCACTTCGTAATCCACATTTATCTTAAATAATGTAAAAAACAAAAGCCTTCAAAAGCTGCCCTGGACATGCTACCAGGACCAAGGTTCAAATGGCTGCTCCGTTCTCCATCCCACCTCCACCCTGGTATATCTGTACAAGCTCACTAACTGGAAACCCTCTAGCCGTTTCCTTGTGAATAAAGCTAGCCAAGAAATGGAGTTGTGAATTGCTGTGCCCACTTTGGCAGTGACTACAGGAGGGCACGTGTATACAGGTGTTCTGACTCTCACAAATGTGGTATGCAGGATTCCCTCTAAACTCAGGCTTATTCTGCATGTTAGACAAAGCTGCCTGCGTTTTGCCCAGGAGCTGAAGAAATGCTACCTGGCTACCAGCTCCCGTGTTTGGCGTAAGCAGTTGGAGGTGGATATTTGCGCTTTGTTCCATTTTTTATCTAACAGCAAGCTTAAAGCCTGTTGCAACAAAACTGACTGCTTTAACTGTCTGACCCTGAAATATTGCTAAGGATCTTGTGGGGTGAAGACTGGGACTGGAGTTGGCATTGGACTCGTGTTCCTGTCCCATGTGTCCTGTTATATTTAGGCATAAGGCACTTAACTACTTTGACTTAAATTGATGTCTGTGCAAGAGGGATAACTCCTAGCAGCACAGTAAATAATTTATTAACACTAGAGTGTTAAAGTTCTTATTTGGAAGGGGTCTAAATACAAAGCTCTCACTATAATGGCGCTTTAGTCTCTGCTTAAACATCAACTTGTCCTGCTATGTGTAACAGCTGTTCACTTTCTGGAGTAACTGAATGAGGTTGTCCTTGAAAAGATGATCAACCTTTGCATGCTTTCCTACTCCCTGCAAGCCTTCTTTATCGGGTTGTCAAGGGCTAATGCAGCCTTCTGAGATGAGAATTGTCTTTATGCTGAGAATCACTCACACTTGGATGAATAGATTATTGAACTCCTTTGCAAATGTTTAGTCTGTGGACAGAAAGCCTGTAGTTGTGCTTCTGCACCTTTGTTCTGTCCAAGTCTACTGCTGTACAAATCCCCCAACGTACGTGGTGTGACAGCCCAATAAGGAAGACTTATTTCTATTTGTTCCTCTACTATTGAAAGGGAAGTTGGTACAACACTTGGCGGTGAAACTCGTTGGCTCTTAGCTAAACTAAGCCTAATGAAACTAGGAGAGAGCCCATCTCGGCTTTCAGAGGCGTTGCTCACAGAGTGGGCTCCTTGAAGACTGTTCCAGCAGTGCTGTGTGACTTTGGAGTGCGGGGGAGAGGAATACCAAGGGGTATATGCATCTACAAGCAGTGCCTCTTGAGGAGTCAGAGGCAGGACCTGCAGCAGGCTGATAGATGCCATGTGATTCTCTTAAGGAAGTCAGAAGCAGCTGCAACAAAGTGCAGTCTGACTCTTGGCTGGCTTGTTCTAGTCCTAGAAACAAGGCCTGCGTTTGGTTGCTCTGAAGGGACCCCAGAATACAGCGGGAGTGCTGCCTTTGAGATGCCTGCTAGCAAACAGGATCCACCAGCTGTGTGGTGTGGCGGAGTGACCGTTGCAGCCATGGCACTGTTAAGGTTGCATTCAGCAAATTCACAACCTGAGAGCCAAAGTGTTTCACAGCCTGATGTTTAATTCCTCTTGCATGTGTTACTATGACAATTAAGCAGATTAATGTGATCTCATGTTACTCCGGTGTATCTTTCCTTCTTTTTCTGTTGCTCCTCCCTTCTCCTTCCCTTTTACCCGGGCCTGCAGATCGCTCGTGAGGCTGAGGCTGCAATGTATCATCGTCAGCTGTTTGAAGAAATTTTCCGCCTCAGTGTTAACAACAGGGACCCTGCTGATGCCATGGCTGTAGGCGCAGTGGAGGCCTCTTTTAAGTGCTTAGCTCCAGCTCTGATAGTTCTGACAGAGTCTGGCAGGTAGGGCTCAGAGAGGGGTAGACGCATAGGCTCTGTAAGAAAGCTGAAACTCCTGTTCCCAGCATGTGGGTTAGCTGCTCTAAAGGCAAATAACGTGCTTTGTGCCAGTAGTTTCCACGAAAAGAAGCATGCTCCATCATAACACTGCAAATATTCAGCAAGCAGCATGCTGCTGCAGTGTCAGCCTTGCATAACCACTGTGGTTTGAGTTGACTTTGTCTCTGTAGCAGGGCAGGACTCCAGGTAGGTAGAAGCAGAGCAAGAGTGCCTGGCAGTTGGGCATGGATGTGACCTGAGTGTGGGCCAAGGAGGGTGAGGTGACTCAGCAGGTGCCACCAATTCAGAAGAGAAACTTTTTGCCCTGTTAGGGTGATGCCTGCCATGTCTGGCTAAATGTTGTAGCCATTACCACAGCATTAAGCTAAATCTGGACTTGCTAATTGTTAACTCTTCTGAATGTTAAAGGTTGACAGGAGTTGGGTGACACCTTGCTGATAGAGCATCTTGCCTTACTCTGTGCCGTTCTGAGTGACTGACATGAGCGTTGTCTTCCCGAATGCATGTTGCTCTTATAGATTGCCCGTGAGGCCGAAGCCGCCATCTTTCACAGGCAGTTGTTTGAGGAACTGCGCCGCCTGACCTCCCTGAATTGTGATCCTACTGAGGCTGCCGCTGTTGGCGCTGTGGAAGCGTCCTTCAAGTGCTGCAGTGGGGCCATTATTGTCCTTACCAAGTCTGGAAGGTAGGAGGTGACTGGTTCCTGCAGGTCAAGTGGACTTCGTGACAGGGTGGGGGCAGGAGGCCAGCAAAAGTTTTCTTTGGAAAAACTAGAGCCATAACAGTGAAGTCCAGGTCTTGGCTGCAAATCAGCCCAGGCTGTCTGTCTGCCGTGCCAGTTTCTCAGAAGATGGCCAGACGTCTCAAACATCTGCAGATGCTTAAGCTCTGAATTATGCAGTGGGCCTCCACCAGCGTGGCATCAGCACCAAGCTCTGCCTTCTCTTGCTATTCAGAATGGCATCTCTGTCAGCCAAGCTGACCAGAAGAACAAAAGGAAAAAAACAAGTATTGCAGCTTCAATTCAAACCTCTTGGCAAGAAATCCTGTATTTAACAGTGAGACAGAAGTGCAGTGGATGCGGAATCTTTTTTTTGTCGAGGCCTTAACCTGTCTTGATAGCAACCAAATTAAAGATGTGTTTAATGTGCCAGGTCCCTTGCTGGACCGTTCAGGTATCAGCACTGCTTGCCTAAGCCCAAGGGACCAAGAGGGCACGTTTAACCTAGAGTAGCTGGACTTGGAAACAAAGTGTTGGAAGTCTTATCTCGTGTAGGCTTCCTTATGTCTGCACGTGATCAACCTCACTGAACAGACAGGCATCCAGTGGCCACGTGCGTGCCTGCCCTGTCAGAGCCTTGACTGCAGGTGAGATAGGGCAATGCAGACTAGGCAGTCTGAGAAATCTGTCCAGCGGTGGTGAAGACTGACTAGACACAGATTTTTTTTGAGTTGTGGAATAGAAACGGTAAAAGGCCAAAGCCCTGCTGATCAGCTTTCCCATCTAGAGGAACTAGACTGCCCCCTGTCAAAGCAAGTCTGACAATGAGTCTTCTCAGAGACTGCTTTCTAGAAGGGAATCTGGATTTCTTGCGCTGAATTTGGACCAAGGAGATAATATTGCAGCAGAGACGTTACTATCTGTGGGCTGGGCACGTCTGCCAGAAGAACTGGACCATCTGTGAATTCTTTATCTAAACTTACAGCTTAACATCGTTTGAAACAACCACTTTCTGCAGAGATGGGGAATGACTGTATAAGCACTGAGCTTTCTGGATGGCCTTGTGCTTCTAATGTTTCTCAGTAAAAGGTTCCAGTCTTACACTTGACCTTTTTTAAGAGATTTGAACTCTGATATTTGAATATTTTTAGCTATGGATTTTGTTACAGCCTCTGAGTACCTGAGCTCTTAGAGCTACTGGGAGGTTTCTTGGACAGTGTGGGAAGGATTGCATGAGAGCTGGCGCATGTGACTGGGTGCTTCAAGCGAACTGCTACCGTTTGCTTCTAAGCAGCAACGTTTGACTGAAAGTATTTTGCAGCTTTGGCTGAGCTTGGCACCAAAAAACTAGGCCGCAAAGGCTAGTAAAGACACTGTGCTGCATGAGGACATGTCAGGAAGATGTACCTGTAAATGTCGTGGGTTTGCAGTTCTTAATCATGGGTTTATTGCACATGTCTCCTAAAAGCAAACTGTCCCCAAAGAAAAGGAAGCTGTAGCTCACCCAGCGTGTGCTGCTTGCTATGTTAAGGCATTTTAAGTGCTCTGTGCCTAGCATCCCTGTATAAATTTCTGCCCCAGTTGTATTTGCTTTCCATATTGCACAGAACAAAGCTCTGTGCAGTAGACAAGCCTGTCTGCTGTAGCTGGCTTAAGCAGGTGAATATGGGTTGGAGGCAAATGGCTTGTCTGGTCTCCACACATGGGGTGACAGCCTCTTTAAAAGGAACTTCACAGCTGCCTGGCATGTTCCTGCTGCATAGAGGGGCTGCCAGAGCAAGGCTCCCTAGAACCGTACAGCTATGCAAAGGCTGAGGCTGTTGCTTCTGCCCTCTGCCCACACAGCTTTCAGAGAGGAGGCTCTCTGTTTCTGGGTGTTTGGGAATACGAATAACGGGGACTAAGTGTTGGCTGCCACTCCGCCAGGATCTAGATGTTTAAACTGATCCACGCACCATAGTCAAACCCGTTTCTGGGGCAGCTCCGCTTTTCCTGATGCGGTTTCCTTGTAGTGGCTGCTCTGAAAGCATCTTCCTTGGCAAGCTTTGGGTGGCACTGCTGGTGCAACCTCTTTCCATCCCGCAAAGTGGGAGCTCATTAAAACAGAGCAAGCCACTTGCAGGGACTCCACTGAGATGCCAAGGACTGCTTGCAGAGGCCACAGTAAGTGGCACCTAGCCACCTTAACATAGCAACGGAGACGAGTAAGTGCTTGTTCTCAGGACTGAAACCTGCAGGTTGCACTTCCTAACCTCAGAGGCAAGATGGTCTCCCCTACAAGACTAGAGTAGGGACTATTTCCCGAAGGCAGCCTTTTCGCGTTGGTTCTCCCAGCTGCTAAATTCTGAGTTCAGTCTGGCATCAAGCTCTACCGGTAGGACTTTACTCTTGCAGGACGTTGTGCCAGCAGTCCCCATAGTCATCCTCTGCAGTGTACCTTCAGAGGTTGTGAAGCCCTCTAGGGTGAAAGGCAAACCCAGCTGATGCTTGTGCTGTGAGTGGAGGTGGCCCACTGGTTGTACCAAGGCTTCCTTGGGCTTGCTTTCAGGCAAGCTGTGCCTGTCATATGGTGCTTCATTTTGTGTTGTGGCTTTCTTCCTCCTAGGTCAGCACACCTGGTGTCCCGGTACCGCCCACGGGCTCCCATCATTGCTGTGACCCGCAATGACCAGACGGCACGCCAGGCCCACCTGTACCGTGGCATCTTCCCTGTCTTGTGCAAAGAACCAGCCCATGAGTCATGGGCAGAGGATGTGGATCTCCGTGTGAACCTGGGCATGAATGTTGGTGAGTTATGCTGTTCTGGCCTCACCTTAAACAGAGGCCGGTGTGAATCGTCTTCTGGGCTACAGTAGTTGAGCGTGCCTCAGATGCTGGCTTTGGGGCTGCTGATGGGACCTGCAACAAAGGGAATTATTGACAGGAAGGGAACTGGCTGCCTTTGCTCAGTAGGTAACTGTATCTGATTGGGAAACGGGGCAGCAGTGTTACATAGGCACACCACATCCGATTGGGAAATGGGACAGCGGTGTTGCATCACAACAGCCTTTAATAGCTTCCAGCAGAAAACCGAAGCATGTTTTAATGTGATAAATGCTTGGCCCTTGATGTTCATCAGTCTTGAAGGATGAAATGGAGACCTAGGGTGGGGTGACGGCTCTCATGGGGCCCTTCTCTGAATCCAGTGCTGTTGAAATGAGCTCTGCATAGCAGAGGAATCCATAGTGAAGGCAAGGGGTCATCTGTGAGATGTGGCTGATGGGTAGACAACAGGAGGGACAGAGACTTGATAAAGCAGAGGCATGATTACCATGGGACAGGTTGCCTCCTGCACCTCAGTGGCACGAGCAGTGAGGGGGGGAAAAAAAAGAAAAAAAACCAAACCCCTAAAAACTAAGGAGCTGTGGAGAGCCAGTGGCAAGTGCTGTTCCCCATGTGTGACAAGCTTACAGGTAGTGTTTGACAGGGTGGGAGTTGAGCTCTGACACTTCCCTCCTTTCTCTCCTAGGTAAAGCACGTGGATTCTTCAAGAGCGGTGATTTGGTCATTGTACTAACAGGCTGGCGCCCTGGCTCTGGCTACACCAACACCATGCGTGTGGTGCCAGTTCCCTAAACAACTGACTCAACCAGCAACATGTTCGCTCCCCCTGCTCCATCCACTCCCCCTCCCCTTGCATTAGACCAGCAGTTGCTTGCAATGTTCTCCTTGTCTGTAGAGTGGATTTAGGTTGCTAAACACCACCGAGTGCAGCAGCAGGGGGAAGAGACCTTAAATCACTAAAAATACTTGAAGTGTTTAGTTTTTTTTAAAAACTTCTCCCTATAGTTAAGTACTGCCCTGATGTATGTTGGGGTCAGGGTAGGAGGTTCCTGCATGCTGATGGGACTTATGCTCCTCTGCTGCCTCTTAGCCTAGTTACTGTCCTCAGGGTGTGAACGTGCCTTTCCTTGCCCCTATTTGGGGTGATGGGGAAGGGAACAGGTGACTTGGGGTTCAACGGTTCTGGTGTAACACTCTGCAGTAGGCAAATGGCAGCCCTGTGCCCCGTAGGTTCAGCTACGCAGCAGCTCCATGTAATGCCAGCCCTTCTCTGCTGTGTCTTCATACGCCCGCAGGCTTGCACTGTTAGTGTCTCCAGTACACTCCAGTTCTGGAGGTACTGTGGATTGCCACGGGTCTGTCTAGTTGTACACCGTGTGGGAGCTAGGCTGGCTCTCTTCTCTGGGTTTACTGTTGGCTCTCTGCACTGCAGACTCCACCACAAGCTCAGGAGGTGGATGTCCTCAGAAAGCAAGATGTGCTTAACCCTTTAAGCCCTAAAAAGCATCTTGCTTGAGGCTGGCTGCTTTTTATCCCCCTCTGATGCAAGCAGAAGCTGTTACATTTGAGACACAAATCTCCCAAAAGACCAAATGTAGGATGAATCCAAGCCTAGATTCCCTCTAACCTGTTTTCAGTTTGACCTAAGTGTTGCAGGGGTGGGGACAGAACAAGGATAAAACAGGATGTTGGCTCTAAAGGGTTGAGCGCTTCAAGGGTTTCGACTGTCCATGGCGAGCGCCCTTCACCTCTGTGCTAAGAGCTTCCTGTGCTCCTATTGCAGTGTCACGTCTGAGTTTAGTCACGTTACCTGAGAGCGTTCTCCTTCATTGTAAATCTGGACAAACTGTTCACTCTTAACAGGTGTTTTGGGTTGTAGAGCACAAGTATGTACATCAATAAAGAAAAGCTGAAGCACCCATCAGCCTGCTGCCTCCGTTGGGGTTTGTTTGAGGTGTTCTCGGGAGCCCTCGGAATTCAAACCAACATGCTGAGGTGTGCGAGTGATTGCTGC